ATAAGGAAGAACTGTAGGAAAAGAGAGAGCCAGCGATGGATGTCTAAGGAAATAAAGGAAAGTATCAGATTGAAAAAAAACACATACGAAAAAGCAAAGAGTAGTGGGAAACTAGTAGACTGGGAAATCTTTAAAGGCCAACAGAAAGCCACAAAAGAAGTTATAAAGAAAAGTAAGGTAGATTATGAGAGTAAACTAGCTCAGAATATAAAAACAGGCAGCAAAAGTTTCTATAAATATGTAAATTGTAAAAGAGTGGCGAAGGTAAACATTGGTCCTTTAGAGGATGAGAAGGCCAATTTAATAACTGGGAATGAGGAAATAGCCGAGACATTAAACAGTTATTTCATGTCGGTCTTCACAGTGGAAGACACAAATAACATACCGAAAACTAATGGCAAGAAGGTTATAGCAGGTAAGGACCTAGAAACTATCATTATCACTAAAGAGGCAGTGCTGGGCAAGCTAATGGGGCTAAAGGTAGACAAGTGTCCTGGCCCTGATGAAATGCATCCCAGGGTACTAAAAGAGGTGATGGGGGAAATAGCAAATGCACTAGTAATTATTTACCAAAATTTACTGGACTCTGGGGTGGTTCCCGCAGGTTGGAAAACAGCCAATGTGATGCCACTGTTTAAAAAAGGAAGTAGACAAAAAGCAGGTAATTATAGGCCAGTTAGCTTAACTTCGGTAGTGGGGAAAATGCTTGAATCTATCATTAAGGAAGAAATAGCAAGACATCTGGATATAAATTGTCCCATTGGTAACACCCAGCATGGGCTCATGAAGGGTAGGTCATGTTTAACTAATTTGGTGGAATTCTTTGAGGACATTACTTGCATGGTGGACAATGGGGAACCTGTGGATGTGGTGTATCTGGATTTCCAGAAGGCAGTTGACAAGGTGCCACACCAAAGGCTGCTAGATAAGATAAAGTTGCACGGTATTACAGGTAATGTATTGGCATGGATAGAGGATTGGTTGACCAGTAGAAAGCAAAGAGTAGGGGTAAATGGGTGTTTTTCTGGTTGGCAGTCAGTGGCTAGTGGTGTGCCTCAGGGATCAGTGTTGGGACCGCAATTGTTTACAATTTACACAGATGATTTGGAGTTGGGGACTAAGTATGATGTGTCAAAATTTGCAGATGACACTAAGGTGAGTGGTAGAGCAAAGTGTGCAGAAGACACTGAAAGTCTGCAGACGGATATAGATAGTCTAAGTGAGTGGGCAAAGGTCTGGCAGATGGAGTACAATGTTGATAAGTGTGAGGTCATCCATTTTGGTAGGAATAACAGGAAAGTGGACTATGTTTTAAATGGTAAAAAATTGCAGCATGCTGCTGTGCAGAGGGACTTGGATGTCCTTGTGCATGAATCGCTAAAAGTAGGATTGCAGGTGCAGCAGGTAATTAAAAAGGCAAATGGAATTTTGTCTGCCATTGCTCGAAGGATGGAGTTTAAAAACAGGGAGGCTATGCTGCAGCTGTATAGGGTCCTGGTGAGGCCACAGCTGGAGTACTGTGTGCAGTTTTGGTCTCCTTACTTGAGAAGAGATATACTAGCACTGGAGGGGGTGCAGAGGAGATTCACTCGGTTGATTCCAGAGTTGAGAGGGTTGGATTATGAGGAGAGTGAGTAGACTGGGATTATACTCATTGGAATTCAGAAGAATGAGGGGAGATCTTATAGAAACATACAAGATTATGAAGGGAATAGATAAGGTGGAGGCAGGGAGGTTGTTTCCGTTAGCAGGTGAAACTAGGACTAGAGGGCATCGCCTCAAAATAAAGGGAAGCAGATGTAGGACTGAGGTCAGGAGGAACTTCTTCACCCAAAGGGTTGTGAATCTGTGGAATTCCCTGCCCAGTGAAGTGGTTGAAGCTACCTCACTGAATGTGTTTAAGGCAAGGTTAGATAAATTTTTGAACAGTAAAGGAATTAAGGGTTATGGTGAGTGGGCGAGTAAGTGGAGCTGAGTCTCAAAAAGATCAGCCATGATCTTACTAAATGGCGGGGCAGGCTCGAGGGGCCGGATGGCCTACTCCTGCTCCTAGTTCTTATGTTCTTATGTTCTTATGTATGTTCTTATGAAGTAAGTTTGTAGTTTTCTTCCAAATACTAAACTAGCTGAAAGAAATTACGCTTTGCAGCAGAAAGTTGACCATGTATTTAATTTATAAATAAGTCAATTTTGTCAGTGATTGCGTTATAACGAATGTTAATTTTAGAACCCAGGTTATGCAGGACGTCAGGAGCTACCTGAAAATCTAAAGATTCAGTTCCGTACAGTGGCCATGATGGTGCCTGACCGTGCCATTATAATGCGTGTCAAGTTGGCTAGTGCTGGTTTCCGTGATAACCAAATTCTTAGTCGCAAGTTTTATACACTCTACAAACTCTGTGAGGAGCAATTATCAAAACAGGTACACTTTACTAATGCTTATGATAGTACATTAGTCTGGTTTTTGTGGTCAGTGGGAAAATAATGGGACTTCCGGCTGACATGAAACAAAATTTACTGCAAAGTTCTGTGGACCTTTGTCGCATGGATTCCCTTTCTCAAAAGTTAATTTGAACCTGCTGCTCAGACTAGAGAGCTCCAGGTATCCAGCAATGGTACTGCCAGTAAGCAAGGTAAGCAGCCTATCACATTGATGTATTCATGTAGTCGGCAAACAGGAAGTAAAATACCAAAATTATGCTTTTAATTTTTTAAACGTAGTTTCATATGAAATGAAATAAATTATTCAGACAGGCATGTAGGATTTGGATGGAAACTGAAATATTAAAAACAAACCTTCTTTGATGACTGATGTTTCAAATATTATTTCAAAGTTAAGAACAATGAAGCATAACAAGACTGGGAAATTTCCAAATCATTTAATAAGTTCATCCTGTGAACAGAATAAAAATTGATGTTATTGTCCCTATCACAATTGTATAGTTAGTACGCAATGCATTTTAGCAATTCTTGGGACGAAACTAAATTGAACCTTGGGACCTTCCTCCAGCTCCACACTGTATTGACTCTGACTTCAGCATCTGTAGTTCTTGCTATCTCTCTAATCTGAACCTTCTTCATAATTCATATAATTTCCAAATGATATAAAACTCATTGCTGTTGTAAATTTTTTATTTATGTTTCTTGGACAAGTATCAACATTGCAAAACAGGCAGATTATTTGAACAAGTTAGGTCTTATCAATGTCTTGACTTATAGAGACACACTATTTAGTTGGACAGAATTGAAAGTGGGATATATTTTGCCAGAATGTGGCTAAGTGTCAGTTTTGGGGAAGATTTATGGAGGCGTCTCGCCATGTGCTTGAGTAAGGTTTCTCACTGGGAATCCAGGACTGCATGAAGATACAGTGGGAGGGAAAGGATGGAGGAGAAGACTTTCTGAGGGCACATAGCTGGCACAGGTGGCTCTTCATTGTAAGTATGTACATTTGTAAATACATGTTCACTTTTCACCATCAGCTGTTGAGCGAATGTCTTTCCAACTGCAACAACAAGAATGATGGTACAGACCCTGTCCATCTTTAGTCTTATATGAGGCTTTATGGTCCAAGGTGTGAATTGAGCAGTTCCTGCATCATGTGCAGGCTATGGGACTCTGGTAGATGCTTGATACTTCAGCAAGTGGGTTCAATCTTTTTAGGCCACAATACATTACTTGTGCATCACAGCTATTTGTGGGATTGATTCCTGATGCTGTGCGATTTGGTCAAGAGTGATTGGGGCCAGAATTTGGATTCCACACAGTAGCTTAATGCCTGAGGTACACATACAGCATTTTGTGCTTGCAGATGTCTTTCCCTTGCACCGTGTGGATATGTTTTATAGACTGTAGCCCTTTGAAGGGCCTCTCATTACACAGGAGTGAAGGTTCCTCCCTCATAGAATGAACACTTACCCTGCTCACTGTACAAATAAGTTCAATATGAGTTTAAGGCTGCATCAATACTGTAAATACATATTTAAAAAATTGTGAGATCCAACATATATTTGTCTTTCTTGTGACTGGAAGTTATAATAATACCAAACAGGCTTACTTGTATAAGATAGTAAGAACTACAGATGCTGGAGTCAGAATCAACACAGTGTGGAGCTGGAGGAACACAGCAGGTCAGGCAGCGTCAGAGGAGCAGGAAAGTCAATGTTTTGGGCCTAGAAAGGCCTACAACGGCCCGAAATATTGACTCTCCTGCTCCTCTGATGCTGCCTGACCTGCTGTGTTCCTCCAGCTCCAAACTGTGTTGAGGCTTATTTGTATTCTAGGCTGTGTCTAACTTTTACAATAGCTTTTAATATTCATTGTTGCTGACAATGTTGTTTGTATGGTGTTGCTTATTATTCTACATCGGCAGGTGCACTATGACTTTGGTTTGCGTAACATTCTGTCTGTGCTGAGAACTCTGGGTGCTGTCAAAAGATCAAACCCAAATGAACCAGAGAAGACCGTGGTGATGAGAGTTCTGCGTGACATGAATCTTTCTAAACTGGTATGTCTACAGAAACAGATTCGCACCTTGAAGGATGGTCTTTTGTTCCTATTCATTGCTTTTAAATGTACTGTTACAATATTTGGATTTAGTCAATGCATGGGTACTATTCATTGTACATTTAATTTTTTAAAAAAAATCAGTAATTTTGTTTGATTTGATTGATGGATTGCATCTACATATTTTGAAAGAAACTATGCTAGCGGTGGCATTGGGTTCTTACTTATATTTAACAGTTTATTAGAAAAGTGTCTAGTGCTGGAAGAGTAGAAGATGAGATAATGTAATCATTGTATTTAAGAAGAGGGATGGAACATATCCAGAGAATTCTAAACAGTTGACAAACATCAGTGGGAGGAAAAATAATGCAATCTTCACAAGAGGAGAGAATGGAACAACATCTGAAATGAGAAACAAAATCAGAAATTGCTGGAAAATCTCAGCAGGTCTGATAGCATCTGTGGAGAGAAATCATTGTTAATGTTTCAGGACCAGTGACCCTTCTTCAGAACAATCACTGGACCTGAAACATTAACTCTGATTGCTCCCCACAGATGCCATCAGACCTGCTGAGTTTTTCCAGCAATTTCTGATTTTGTTTCTGATTTCCAGCATCCGCAGTTCTTTTTGTTTCTCTTTTCTAAAATGAGAAACATAATTAATGAATAGTCAACATGGGTTTTGAAAGGGAACGTCGTGTTTGACCAGACTTGAAGTTTTTGAAGAGGTAACAGAGAGAGTAGACAAAGACAATGGAGTAAATATAATTTATCTGTATATTCGAAAGGTGTTGATAAATATCCTGTAATAAACTGTTGAATAAGGTCAGAGAATGTGGCGTTAGTGGACAAGTGACAGAAGGGATTACACTCTGGCCTCAAGACAGAAAGCAGAGATGTGATAAATAAGTCTGGTCATTCAGAGTGACAGAAGGTAGTGGTGTTCCAAAGGATCCATGCTGAGTATAATACTGAGGAGGGCTGCAACAAGCAGAGGAAAAGGTGTCTCTGATTGCCTGGCAGCTTCTGATAAGGCAGGGCTTTAACATTGATGCCTGTCATTCGCTGAGGAACTTGCTGCGCAGCTCTTAACTCTTTGATCTGGCAGGGTTTCTCATTGGTGGGAGAGGAGAGGCAGTCACCATTGAACACATTCATATGTGCACTTAGGAGCTGGAGAGTTCAATCTCAGCCATAAAGCATGACAGCATAGAATTAATCCATTCATCCCCTTTGAGCTGTGTTGGCTGTTTTGAAGAGGAACCTGGTTTTTCATACTCCACCACGTCTTTGCCATATCATTGCAATTTTTCTCCTTCAAGCATTTGTCTAATTCTCTTTTCAAAAGTCACTGTTAAAATCTGTTTCCATTGGCCTATTGGGCATACATTGCAAATCCTGAATACTTGTTACTTTTCTTTGTGTTATCTCTGTTTCTTTTACTGATTGCATTACTATTATTTTGCACTTTGCTTATTAAGCTTTTAGCTACTAGACATGAAAGGGACCTGAGGGCTAACATTTTCACGCAGACGATGATGCATGTATGGAATGAGCTGCTGGAGAAAGTGGTGGAGGCTGGTACAATTACAACATTTAAAAGGCATCTGGGTGGGTACATGAATATGGGCCAAATGCTGGCAAATGGGACTAGATTAATTTAGGATATCTGGTCAGCATGGATGGGTTGGACCAAAGGGTCTGTTTCTGTGCTGTACAACTCTATGACCATGACTCCAGTGTAGAAAATAAATCTCAGAATGCCTGTGAACATTAAGATCCCTTTAAGTTTTGTGGGAAATTATGTTTTCTGACTTGTATCACTGGTGGGCAAGAGCAAGATGTAGCAAGGTATAACTTGGGAAGGGTACTAATTGCATTATTTTACCTCAGTTTACATTTTTGCCTGAGGTTTCCTTTCTGTGGACTGATGGAAGCCCTGACCACTAGGATACAGGTCTATTGGGAAGGTTAGGGTGGATGTCAACACAGTCGTAAGTCAGCACAGATACCTGCGCTTAATTTGCACTTAGGCCATTTTAAGTTTAAACAGGACAACAGTAACATGAAAATTATCCCTCTCAGTTTGTACTGCTTTTACAGTTGAACTATGTTTCTCTATGTAGATAGTAAATAGATATCAGAATGTAGACTTTAGGGTCCTTCCTATCCAAATCGATCCATTTTTTTTTATGTGACAAAACTCAAATAATAGAATAACAGGAGAAAGGATTTCACAATGAAAAAATATTTATTCTAATTTAGGTGGATGAAGATGAACCTTTATTCATGAGTTTGGTCAATGACTTGTTCCCTGGAATTACCTTGGATAAAGCTGGTTATCCTGAACTAGAAGCTGCAATCGAGAAACAAACAATCGACGCCGGGATTATTTACCATCCTCCCTGGATCCTGAAGCTCATTCAACTCTATGAAACTCAAAGAGTCCGACATGGTTAGAGTGGACTTTATTGAAGAGTGCAATGAAATATGCTACAAATGTGATGAATGTGCAAGTTAGAAAAAAACTAATCCACACATTTATGATTGAATTGGCTTTCCATCTACTACTTTGTAAATAACCACTTAAAATATTTAAAAATAATTGTAATTAATTTTCCAGGATGTTTCATGCAGTTGTGTATTGTTGATTCTATTTTAATTTTTTTTTTGTAAAACGTATTGTTGCATCTGTTTTAGGTATGATGACTCTTGGCCCAAGTGGAGCTGGGAAAACAAAATGTATCAATACCTTAATGAAAGCAATGACAGATTGTGGAGAGCCTCACAAGGAGATGAAAATGAATCCAAAGGCAATCACAGCCTCCCAGATGTTTGGGACTTTGGATGTTGCAACAAATGACTGGACAGATGGTGTTTTCTCTACACTGTGGAGGAAAACATTGAGAGCAAAAAAGGTAAATTAGTGCTTTCATATGTTGTTTGTTAATTTAGTGCACATGATAGGAGATTAGATATGTTTTTGGGAGCCCATTTTGACAGATATTGTGTCATAAATTATGTAGCTGCAATATAAAAAGTTTACTTGTTGTATCTGTCGAATTTTGTATCAAATGTTAGAAAGGTTATAAGATCTCTCCTCAACTCTTCAATGCTTTCGGGTTTCCAGTGATAGTCATGCCTATATTGTGTGACTTAAAATTATTTTTATAAAAACAAAGTAAAAGCTACATTAATTATTTAGAAGAAAAGCAAATTTGATGATAAACATAATAAAACTAACCAAAACAAAGTTGTCCAGGAGTGATTTATATAATTAACATTTTTCTTGTCTTGATGCCATCAAGGCAATACCATCTGTTTGGAAGCATAAACCACTGAGTATAAGCCATTGCTATAAGTACACTATTATGTCTCAGCGTAAACAGGAAAGATGAGTTGAGAACTATCACTGATGTTTGGTTTTAAGATAGGGTTAGGGTTAGCTGAAGGAATGCTTAGTTAAGATTTTAGCTGCCCTGTGTACCATAATGACATTGTGTATAGAAATAGAGCAAAAAATGTTAGGAGAATAATTGTTCACTGAAAATTTTTCCTACTCATACCGATTTTGTATACGTCCAGAGTAGTTTTGTAGCTACCATTGCCCGTTAACTCCTGATCAAGCAACTTTTTAAATCCCTTTATGACCTCTCCCCTCCGAGCCCAACAATTCTTTGAAATGTTTGTGCTCCTCTAACTCTAGCTTCTTCTGTATTCTCAATTTTCGTTGCTCCATCATTGTTGACCTTCTGTCATCCAGGCCCAAGTTCTGGAATTCCCTCCCTGTACTCTTGTTCATCTCTCTATTTCACCTTCTCTCCACCTTTAAGACACATTAAAACCTGCCATTTTGACAGAGCTTCTGGACAATGAAGAGTGAATTGCATTTGGACCTTTTATTACATTAAAGGCTGTTGATATGAGTTGATAGAGAAGTGATAGAAAGTTATAGTTCATCTCCTAGCAATAGCATCTATCCAGTTCTTCCCAGATCGTATGGATTTTTTTTGAATAAACCATTCTAAAATATCTTTACCGACTTTATACTTTAAAGTTGATCCGTGTCTAACTTAGTCAACTTGGAAATCTAAACCTGTGACAAAAAATCATAACAACAGCAAGGTAAGTTTGTGAAAATGAAGTGCATGTAAGTGTAAATTTTTTAAATATATATATATATAGATGTACATTGTGCATACTTGGGTAATGTAATTGTGAAGATTTCTATCTATTTATGGGAAGTTATTGACAGGGAAAATCTTGCAAAATATTTGTCTTGCAGGGAGAACACATATGGATTGTATTGGATGGACCTGTAGATGCCATTTGGATTGAAAATCTTAACTCTGTTTTAGATGACAACAAAACTCTTACATTAGCTAATGGCGATCGCATCCCAATGGCACCAAACTGCAAAATTGTTTTTGAGCCTCATAACATTGACAATGCTTCCCCAGCTACAGTATCACGAAATGGCATGGTGTTTATGAGTTCATCAGTACTTGACTGGAAGCCTATACTCAAAGCATGGCTTCAGAAATTACCCACTGCACAGTCAGACCTTCTTTGGAACTGCTTTGATAATGTTTTCCAGGTATTCATTGTCTCAGTTTTATTAATGTGAGCACTAAATATGTTCCACCTCAGTTAAAATAAGCTAGCATTTTTCAAGAATTAATCTGATTTATACCCAACGTATTTTTAACGTTATCAATTAAGCCAAAAGTTTCAATAAGTTATTACATTCACAAATCCAATGTGACTGGGACAAAAATAAAAATGAACGCTTCTCTTATGTCTTGACCCATCTGAAGCCTTTGACATGATTCAACGCACTGTCCTCCTCCAATGCCTCTCCATTGCCATTCAGCTGGATGACACAGAATCATACAGCAGGAAAAAAGGACCTTTGGCCCATCATGTCTGTGCTGGTCAGCAAAGACCTATCCACTCTGGTTCCATTTTCCATTTTCCATCTGGACCGTAGGCTTGTTTGTTACAGTATTCCAAGTGTTCATCTAAATACTTTGTAAAGGTAGTGATAGTTCCTGCTTCTACCATTCTTTTAGGCAGTGAGTTCCACATACCACTGTTCTCTGGATGAAAAATTCTTCATTGAATCCCCTTAAAACCTCCTGTTCTTACCTTAAATTTATGCCCTTGGTTGTTTACCCCTCTACTGAGGGGAAACAATTTTTCCTATGTCATTTATTTATGCTCCTTATAATTTTGTAAAACTCCATCAGGTACCCCATCAGCCTTCTGGAGGGCTCTTAGGAAAACAACCCCAGCCTATATCATCCCTCTTCATTCATAAAACACTCCGGCCAAGGCAACACCCTGGTGAATTTCCTCTGTACCCTCTCTAATGCAATCACATTTTCCCTTTACTGTGGTAACCAGAACTACGCCTAGTACCCAGCCATGGCCTCACTAGAGTCTTATACGGCTCCATTATGATGTCTGAAATAAAAATAAAGAACTGCAGATGCTGGAAAACTGAAACAAAAACAGAAAATGCTGGAGTAACTGAGCAGGTCTGGCAGCATCTGTAGAGAAAAGAATAGAATTACCATATGACAATCCCATCTATATTATCCCATAGTCTAAGGCTTTTCTTCTTGCTATTTATAACACCATCAATTTTGTGTCATCTGCAAACTTGCCAATCATACTGCCTATATTCATGTCTGTCTCATTAATATATGTGTGTACACACATATGCGAAGGGGATTAATTTGCTTTTTTTGCAAACTTAGCTGTCCACTTGCAGCTAGAGGATCATCTGCAATGAATTCTCCTACTGCTTCTCTGTCATTATCTTGGGGCCTCCCAAGAACATTGCCTTTGTCCCTTCCCATTTCTCATCCCAATACTGCCCTCAACTCTACACTAACATTACCTTTCTCAACTCCTTCATGGTCTCTACATTGTCAGACTGTCTTCCTGACATCCATGGATGAACAAAAATATTCTCCAAGCAAATATCAGGAAGAGTGACAAAATTATCTATGGTCGCTATTATTTGTAAAATTCATGTCTATAATATCACTCAACTCTGCCATTCATCAGTTCACCTGCTACTGGCACACTCATCATGCCATTGATACCCCTCGGCTTGATTCTTCAAAAACATTTATTGATGAAATTCCATTTATATCATCCAAGAACCTGGAGTCATTCAAAATTCTGCTATCCATGCCCTAACATGCGTCAAGTCCCATTTGCCCACCCCATCCCTGTTCTCACTGATTTACACAAAACTCGTGGTTATGGAACATCTGAATATTAACATTTCCATCCTTGATTTTAAAACTTTACATGGGGTCTGCCAAGGACCCATCAATCCCAACCTTTCTAATTTGCTAACCAAACTGCCATGTGGTACTGTATCAAATTCTTTCTGAAAGTCCAAATGTGCAACATCCACACCATTACCCTCATCCACTGCCTATGTCACATTGTCAAAAAACTCTGTTAAATCTGTCAGATGTGACCTGCCCTTGACAAAGCCATGTTGACTGTCCAGTATTAACTTATTTTTCTCTAAGTGCTTTTTATCTTATCACGTAACATGGCCTCCATCAGTTTTCCTACTTTTGATGTCAAGCTGACAGGTGTGTAGTTTCCTGGGTTATCCTTTGCCCCTTTCTTAAAAAACGGCATCACATTTGCAATCCTCCAGTCCCCTGAGACTAATTCTGTGTTCAGTGAGGCCTGGAAAATTTCTGTTAATGGCAGATTGCTCCTTTATCTTGCTCAGCAATCCAGGATGCAATCCATCCGGGCCTGGCGACTGCCGTACCTGGAGTGCTGCCAGTCTTTTTAGTATCTCTTCTTTATCTATTGCTATAATTCTCAGTTGGTCAATATCCACACTTTCAGCTAGGCCATAATGACTACTTTCTAAATTGGCAAGGGCAGAAACAAATTCCTCATTTAGAACCTCTGCCATATCTTTTGCTTCAGTGAGCAGCTTACCCTGCTTGTTTGCTATGGAACCCATTAAGTCCATCAATAGTCCTTTACTATTAATATGTTTGAAGATTGTGCTACTATTTGTTGTAGCACAGTCTACCAATCTTTTCTCATGCTTTCTCTTAGCCTTCCCTATTCCGGCTTTAACCTGTCTTCTGCATTTGAGATACTGCTCCTGATTTCAATTGCTGTTATTATTCCAGTATGCATCATATGCCTCCTTTCTCTTCTTTATTTTCTCATCAATATCCTGAGTCATCAATATCCCGAGTACCTTAACTTTGGACACCCTATATTTATTTCTCATGTGTATGTACCTACCTTGTATCCTATTCATCTCCCTTTTAAAGTCTCCTATTTTCATCTTCTGTTTTATCCACAAAAATGTGCTTCCAATCAACCTGGTCTATTTCAACAGTTAGAGCACTATAATCTGTCTTTTTCCAGTCTGGGATCTTAATTCTTGTATGATTTTTATCCTTTTTCAACTTAATATTGAACTTTTTATGTGTTATGGTTACTATTTCCTAAATGCTCTCCCACCCAGATGCTCTCCATTTGGCCTGCCTCATTTCCCAGGACCAGATCTAGCACAGCTCGCTCCTTGGTAGGATTAGAAATGCGCTGTTCCAGAATGTTATCCTGCACACATTGCAGGAATTTCTCCTCTTCCATGCCCCATACTCTACCTTTTTTCTAGCCTACTCTAGGGTAATTAAAATCACTGACTATCACAACCCACTCATCCAGCAGATTTCCATAATATCCATACAAATGCTGTCTTCTACCTTCTCCCCACTATTTGGACATCTCTGCTCCCTTCATTTTTCTCAGTTCCAACCCTCCCATTAATTTTAATTTAGGAATAGCATTTTGTTCAGGGGTTCTGATGCTACTTTTAACCAAGACTGCTATACCTTCTCATTTTTTTACCCTCCCTATTTCTGCGAAAAACCTTATAACCCAGGATATTAAGTATCCAATTCTGTTCTGGTTTGAGCCAAGTTTCTGTCAATGCTGCTGTGTCATATCCCTATAGAGCAATTTCTGCTTCCAGTTTCCCAGATTTGTTCATGATACTCAATGTATTTACATACATACAATTTAACCCTGCTGTAATCTCTTATTTGCCCATTGGAAGGCAACTATTTCTTTGTTCACTGTCAACGCTCAAGCCTTCTCTCACTTCCTTTTCCCTGTTCCCCATCTTTTCTCTTTTGCCCTCATTGGCACTTCCAAACCCAGGTGCATTTGGCAACCCATTCTCATGCCTCACAGGTTTAAATCCATTCCCACTACATGGTGTACTTTCAGTCAGGAGATTAGTTCCATTTCTGCTCAGGTAAAGCCTACCTGTTCTGAACAGTTTTCCCAAAGGTGATCCCTCTGTCCCAAAAATCTAAACCCTCCCTTCCACACCATCCCTCAAGTCACACATTTGCCTCCCAGATTTGCCTTTACCTAAATGGTGAAGCTCATGGCACAGAGATTGCTACAATGAAGGCCATGCATTTCGACCTACTCCCTAACTCCTGAAACTGACCCTGCAAGACCTTGAAGCTGCCCTTCCATATCATTGGTTCCCACATGAAGCACAGACATTCGTTGTTCGCCTTCCCTTTCCAGAAGTTTATTCAGCCATTCTGTTATACCCTGAACCCTTGCAGCCAGGAGGCAACAGGCTAGATGGGACTCACAATCTCAGCTGCAATCTAGACTGTCTATCATGTAAACTATTGAGTCAGCCACTATCACCATTCTCACTACTACTCATTCTTCTATCATCTGTTCATTCCATGACAGTTTCATTTACAGTACAATTTTCTAATTCTGTTTGTTGAGACAAAGCTATTTCACAAATTTCTGATGACCATATCCCTGTTTCACTTGGTACTTTTCTAAATATTACTTAGAATATTCCATTTGCTCTTTTGAAGGATTTGATCAGTTTTGTCTTCACTGCTGTAACGCCGAAAATGCAAATTCTGGAATGCATGTACATTAAACAAGCCATTGACCTTCTGAAGGTAAGTGAATTGCCTGGTTAGAGAATGAATATTTTCATTATCACCAAATATTTAAAAAAAAACAAATATAAATAACCAAACATAAGAAAAATTCAAGACCAGTAAATAATGAAATAATGTAAATCTTTTTAGGGCCTATTACCAGGAGTTGAAGACAAGCAGCCAAGCACAGAGGAAGTTGCCCGTTTATTTATTTTTGCTGCAATGTGGTCCGTTGGAGCTCTTTTGGAATTGGATGACAGAGCTAAAATGGAAAGCTTTCTGCGGAATCATTCTGCACCACTTGAGCTTCCAGTGACTGAAGGAGAAGAAACAATCTTTGAATTTGTTGTCTGTGCTGATGGTCACTGGGAGCACTGGTCAAAGAGAGTTAGTATTTAATAATTTTAAAATGCTGTAATTTAGACATTTCATACAATTGTGGTTAATTGAATTATTGATACATAAACAGAGAACAATTACCTTTCTGCTCAACAGACTGAAGAAACTTTGCACTCAAAGTGCATATTTTGCATTAGTAGTCTCCTCAGGTCTACAGCAGCATCAAAGTGTGGAAAAAGAGGTTGGGACAATGTAAAACAAGAAAAAAGCTATAGTCTCATAAAAGCAGTCATTACTTGGGAAAATGTGTACTTGACAAGCGCTATGTTACTTTCTTATTACAATTGTCGTTACAGCTTTTGCTCAGTGTTCATAATCTTGCTTCAGAGTCTGAGAGTTGTGTTCAAGCTCTACTTCATGATGAGATCACTTAATCTAAAATGACCTTTCAATACAGACTTGAGAGTGTAGTTTATTGTCAGAGCTACAGACTTTCGAGCAAGCTGATAAGCTGAGGTCCACCTGACCTTTCCAGGATGTAAAAGAGACAAAAACACTATTTGAAAAAGGCTAAAGGAGTTCACCCTGTGCCCTGATCAATATTGATGCCTCAATATGATCAAAACAGAATAATTGGCTATTCATCTCAGTCCTTTTTTGAGTCTTTACTGTGTACATTTGGCAGCTATATATGCACAAAAAAACTGATTGGTCTACGCTTAAACGTAATTATTGACAACTAATATGCCATTTGAAATGATTCCACAGACCCGATATTCCATCTCAAAGTCACCCATTATTTACACTTGGAGACTCCTTGACATTGAACCAGTTCCCTCAGAGCAGCTTTCAGAGTAGACAGGATGTCTGAAACTCCTGTTTATATCTGTCAGCCAGGGCTCACTACTTGGACCAGATTAACAGCCCAAATCAAGGAACTCATATTCTATGAGGTCCACCTGGCTGACCTCAGTACAATCACGACACCATCTCCATTGGAGAGATAGCTCACCTGATTGCTTGCCAATCAGATCATTAAGAGCTGACACACAAATGAGGGTGAGTATGTCATCCTGTCACAGGCCTCAACACAGTAACTGGGATTGCCAGAATCTCTTATCTAGTTGGAGGTTTTCAGCTTCTGAGTTCTGGAGCCCACAGGCAGGTCACCAGGTTTTCTCACATGGCGGAATTAGCCACCTTTTCCACCCACTAGGGAGGCAATTGATTGGGATTTGATGAGTTGAGTCCCTTATTTGACCATTAACTTATCAGTTAAGGGCCTTAATTAATGGCAAGTTAACAAAGTCTCCTGTGAACATCTTAGCCAGCAGTTGAGATAACAAGGTGTAGAGCTGGATGAACGCAGCAGGCCAAGCAGTACCAGAGGAGCAGGAAAGCTGATGTTTCGAGTCGAGACCCTTCTTCAGAAATGGTGAAATCCAGCTCTACACCTTGTTATCTCAGATTCTCCAGCATCGGCAGTTCCTACTATCTCTTAGCCAGCAGTTAATTGCTCAAATGTTGAGAAGCAGATAAGATTGTGTCTAGGACCAACTATCCCAATTGTATCCCCATTCTCATCACCTCTCTTGCCATCTCCCTGGAAGGCAAAATCATGCCTTTTGGCTCTCTCAGATTTGCAGTCAGTGACTTCTAGTGGATGTTCATGTCATTCTGATAACATAGCAAAGGTAGGGATCATGTGGGTGCAGAGATCTGCGCACGTAAGTTTGTTAGGAACTCCCTTCCTAATAATGTTGTGGATGTTCCTACATCCCAAGCACTGCAGGAGTTCAAGAAGGCAGCTCATTATCAATTTATCAACACACAGTGTCAGGATATGGGGTTAACCATTTAGGACAGGTTCAAACAATAGTGAACCTGTGGAATTTTCTATCACAGACCGCTATGGTAGCCAAGCCGTTGAATATATTCAAGAAAGAGATCTCTGAATTTCTACATTTTAAAGGCATCAAGAGGTAGGGAATAAAAGCACGAGCATATGGTGTTGAGATAGAGGATCAACCATCAACATCTTGAATGAAGGAGGTTTGAAAGGCTAAGTGGTCTTTTCTTGCTCCTAGTTTCTACGTTTTATAGTATTGTACTATATAAATAGAAATTGCAGAATTCTGGTGTAGAGGGATCTGGGTTAGAGTTAGGTGTCCTCGTATATAAAACACAAAAAATTAATCAAGAGATAAAACAAGTGATTCAGAAAGCAAGTGGAATATTAGCATTCATTGCAAAGAGTATAAAATATAAAAATAGTGGATCATCTGGAGTATTGTGGACAATTTTGGTCTCCTTATTTGAAAAGAAGGTATTATTTTATTAGAAGCAGTTCAGAGAAGATTCATTCAATTCATTCCTGGATAGGAAGACTGAAGAAAGACTGAACACCTTGGGACTATTCTCAACAGAGTTTAGGAAAATGAAACATATTGAAACATATAAGATCCAAAGGGGACTTTATAGACTGGAAATCTGGAAGGTGCTTTCTTCTAATGGGGAGACTACAACTAGGTATAGGATTTAAGAAGAAAAGGTATCCTCTTTGAGGTGAGATTTTTCTCTCACAGAGGGCTTTAATTTTTGGAATTCTAGTGGAGGCTAGGGCATTGAAATTATTCAAGGCAGATTTCGGTAATTTTTTTGATAGACAGGGGAATCAAGAGTTATTCGGAAGTAGACAGGAAAGTGGAACTGAGATCACATCAGATCAGCCATCAGCTTATCGAATGGTGGACAGGCTCAATATTTATCCCTCAACCAAACCTCATGAAAATAGGTTATCTGATGATTATCACATTGCTATTTTTAAAGTTTAGTGAGTGCATTTTGGCTAGCATTGGTTGCAGCCTACAACAGTCACTACACTTCAAAATGTTACATCATTGCTGGTAAAGCATTTTGACACATCCATTTGTGAGAAAAGCATTATACAAATGCAAGTCTTTCTGTCTCTCTCAAAGTCCACTCCCACTCCTATGCTCATATGACAAGTAAGCCGAAATTTCAGGCTTGCAGATGGAGAAGAGGGTTTGTGCAAAGTGATCATCCAATCTGCCTTTACTCTCCCTTTTTGCCTTATGAACCGTGAGTAAGTTACGTTTGATTAAACAAAGTAGGAATAAGATGCAGTTTATCTACAAAGAGTGTTTGGGATCTAAATGGTGGCAAAAGAAAAAGTGAAAAAGGCAGGTGTTGTGCATGAGAAGGTTCTGTGGGCAGGGAGAGGTATATTGGAGATGAATGGAAAGAAAGGAAGGAAAGAAAAGAAAGGAAGGAAGGAGGAAATAAAAGGAAGGAAAGAAAGAGAGAAAGAAAGACAGAAAGACTGGCATTTATATAATAACCTTCTCACAAATGGATGTGTCAAAATGCTTTACAACCAATAATGTACAATAATGAAATACAACAGAAGTGTAGCTACTGTTGTAGTCTGCAAAATGCACTCACTAAACTTCAAAAATAGCAATGTGATAATTATCAGATAACCTGTTTTTTGTGACGTTTGGTTGAGGGATAAATATTGACCAAGACAATAGGATTAAATCCTCTGCTCTATAACAGAACAGTGCTTTGCGATCTTTTATTTTTACATGAGAAGCAGACATGCCCAAGTTCAATGACACCCAAGACAATATCACAAACAAAGAAGCATTCCACTTGATTGTTAAGTTTGGTTTTTGCATTCAAGCCCTGAAGTGGGAATTGAAACTTGAACCCCATAACTGACAGGTAAATGTGCTATCAACTGAATTGGCATAGCTAAATACAGATGATTATGTCCGAAAAGCAAGGGGAGTGAGACCTAGTTTCACTTAGACATTTATCAGAGCATCCTGGAGAAAATAGTCCCTTTGAAGTTTTGTTAGTGGAGGGAAAATGTGTTTGATGGTGGCATCGTGCTGGAAATTGTACAAATGGAGGGGTAATGATCTGCTGGTGAGGTGGAAGGTGAGGACAAGGGTTCTGGAATGGAAGGGAAGGAATGAGAGCAGAGGTACAGACATGGCCAACAACCCCAACAACCCCACCAACCCAGTGGGAGGAAATTGTTTGGTAAAAGGAAGATATCTCAGTAGCACTGATATAAAAAGGGGAAGAAAGGAAATAAATTCCTTGTGGGAAGTGGGTTAGGAGGAAATGTGGTGAACATAGCCATGGGAATCATTGAACTTATAGCGAATGTTGATCTTGGGTGTAGGTGCCAGATATTGATATATTTCTACACTCAGAAAAGTAGACTGAGAAGCTGAGGAAGGGTAGGGTCATGTGAAACCAAAAGAAGGGTGGAAATTAGAAGAGATTTTGTGAAGTTTTCCATCTGATGGGAACTGCACTAAAACAATCACCAATTTGCTAGGAAAGAAAAAGGTGGAGTGAGGAACTGAGAAGGTCCTGAGCAAATAATGTTCTATGTATCAGACAAAAAGGCAGGTATAGCTAGGGCATAGAGGGATGATCTCCTGAGAGGTAATCTGTGACAGTCATGGAAAAGATCACTTAATGTTCAGTGTGTCTCTTCCTAGCTCCTCCTGAACTATGGCCACCTACTGAAACTTAACGTGCACAAGTATTCCAGTTTCTTCAGTGTCCAAGCTCTGCAAAGCTTTTATACCTACTTTATGCATATTATTGTAGTTACTCCAAGTCTGGGATGATTTAGCTTCATGCAGGCCTGCCAATGATTTTTTTTCCCCGTAGAGAAAATTCAGAACAGAACTGAAAGATATTATTGTTGCATTGTAAGACAATTGAATACTTGCAATGTAAGTTAAGTAAGAGAAATGTGTGTTTGCAATTTCAGGTACCTGAATATATTTACCCATCTGACACTGTACCAGCTTATTCATCAATCCTGGTGCCAAATGTTGACAATATTCGCACAGATTTTCTTATGCACACCATCATGAAACAAGAAAAAGCTGTTTTGCTCATTGGTGAACAGGGAACAGCAAAGACAGTTATGATCAAGGTATGAGACTGAAGTCTTTAAATTCAGATATGATTAAGCGTAGCAACAACAATTTATATCTATGTTGTCACTTTTTTGAATTCACTTATGGGATGTGGTTATTACTAACTAAGCCAGCAATGATTATCTGTCCCTGATTGCCCAGAAGGCAGTTGAGAGTCAAGCACATTGCGTGGGTCTGGAGTCACATGTACGCCAGATCAGGTAAGGATGGCTGATTTCCGATCCTAAAGGACATTAATGAACCATTTTTTTCTCTGATGATCAGCAATGGTTTCCTGGTCATCATTAGACTATTAATTCCAGATTTTAACTGAATTCAAATTTCGCCATCTGGCATGATGGGATTTGAACCCAAGACCTCAGAACATTACCTGGGTCTTTGGATTAACGGTCCTGTGTTAATACCATGAGGCCATCAACATCATAAAAAAAACCCCAAGGCATCATTAAAATAAGTATGACACTGAGCTGCCTAAGGAGGTATTAGGTCAGATAATCGGAATGTTGGCCAATGAGGAAATATTCAAGAAGTTTCTGAGAGAAGAAAAGAGAGGTATTGGGAGAAATTGCTGAACAACTGAAAGCACAGCATGAAAGCATGTTAGGTTATGATCAACAAAACTTTTGGAATGTTTGAGCAATCCAAGTAGCTTAAGAGTTAAAAATGGAATAGCTTTTTTAACTTAATGAGCATGGAATGAACTAACGTAACTAATGAGAAATATTGCTTTAAAATGATACATTTTGTCGAGACTATTTGCCTTTCATTCATCAAGATATTCACAAGTGTGATGAAGGTTTGTAAGTTAGGTAAATAGGTTTTAGGCTTTAAGTTCTGTGAAGGTGACTTTTTTTAAATTAAGGAACAAAAACTCATTTATTTTTTAGCAGTGGGTCAAAATGCTTCGAAGAAATTTTGGGACTTAAGTAAATGATGAGTAAAGCTACAAAGTGAGCTAATTGAGCTTCATTAATATACAGGAAGAGAGCCAGAAGCCAGAAGCAACTTTAGTTTGAAAAATAGATCCACACCAGCAAAGTGGCAGTTTAGTTTTGGTAGTCTCCAGGCCATTTCAACTGGAAAGATGTTTTAAGCTGTTTTAGCTGTCCAAGTAGACAATGATGGAAAAAGCCTTGAGTTTTTCTTACAATTCAATGAGACAAATCAATAAGTTAGCTCGTGTGTGTGCTGGGGCACAATTAAATCTGATGAATAAGCAGAAAGTCACCAAAAGGAAATGCTTGACTTTCATTAGTTGTGGAAAAAAATTAAAGAATGAAAGTAGGAGACATGTACCACCAGGATGGAGTATCTGTAAATGACATTGCTGGGAAAAAAGGTTTAATCTTTCTTTTTGCTTTTTGGTAATATAATTAACATATGTACATACACCTTGTTTTGTCTTTTCTTATACGTAATAAACTTATGCTCTTTTATTATAAGCATGTTAGCAGTCTCTTATGACTATGTTCAGTGATTTACCATCATGGTAATCAAAATTACAAAATAAAACATATTATCTATCAAGCCAGCTTTCTCTGTGAGATCTGACTTGTCCAATTTTACCATTATCTGGGACCATACACAAAAATATCAATGTGAAGGGAAAACAACATTAATGCTATATGGGATGACAGTGCTTCTCACAAACTCATGAACTGTCTAATGCTGCTGCTGATGGTCCTGAAAAGTGTACAGTTATTCTTAAATAATCCTGGAGGATAAGATATCTTGGGAATTTCAGCAACAGCAGATGCCAGCTGTTTTATGCCATTATTATTCAGTAACAAATTGACTATTTGCCACTAACAGAATACTGTCATCAAGCCAAAAAAGATATTGTACCAAATACACAAATGAATAATGTGGTATATGGATTTTAGTGCTGGAATGATGCAGGTGTCTAGGACATACCTCCCAAAAACTGATGGAACATATCAAACAGCAGTTCTCATCAGCTGTTTGCAGCAACCAAGTTACTGACTGTACCCCATCAGCCCGTGCTTGCAAAACTCAAACACAGTGTTCAACGTGAGATGTGATTCTGTGATTGGATAACAACAACTAAATAATATTGAATAAACAAAATGTATGTTGACCACCCATTTAAAATTGTTAATTGGGCTTGAGGTGATACATACTTTTATACACTGGAAGCCACATTCATTAATACCCAGGGCCTTGTGCTTTACAAATGGAAAGTTCATACACAGTATATATACTGTGCCTGTTCCAAATTAATAAAACAGGGAACAGCCCAATCTCTTGTTCGTCCAGCAGGGGAATGCCTTGACCAATTATATTCATCCTGCCTCATTTAAAATTTGAACAAAGCTTGGATGTTAATTGCCAGTCATTATTATCCAGTCTATTCTCCATGACAATACCTTGACCAATCTGAGACCATTTGTCATACAATCAGGATACTTCTCTCATTCAGTATAAATATTGTTTTTCCCTTCACATTAATATTTCTTACAAATTGTTCTGATGAGCCATGACAAAAACTTTCACAAAATGTGTCTTTCTTCAGTAATACTCAAGTTTTATGCTACCAAATGACTAATAAATACTTTTAAAATCCACTAAATATTCTGATCATGGAAAGTGCGTTAAATTCTCTTGGAGCTTGTCTTGAAATATTTACAAGTGTGACAATAACAACAGTTTATATTCTTCGCTTTATCATTAAACATATACCTGTTGGTTTTGTATCTTTTGATGCTGTGAATATCTGGACAGCTTGAAGTGTTGTTGAGTCTCAGAAATCTCACATATCTGGAGAACTATATTTTATTGAGATGGGTGTGAAGCGTATATTGTTGCCTTCTGTTTCTTTCACTACCAATGTAATTGAGGCTAGAATAGATGTAAAGTTGTGTAACATCTGGAAGCCTACTTTATAAAACGGAGACTTCATCCAAATGCAGCCAAGACTGTCATTTCATTCTAATTTGAAGGCTGAGGAGGAGGTTAGGCAGCTGACAACTCATGTATCACTCAACACCTAAATACCTTGGCATCATATTAGCCATGCATTGACTTACTGGCAGCACTCCAGAAAACTGGAACTAATAAGTTCAAGATGAGAGTGAAGCTCATATGGAATCTAGTATCTGCTGCCTAGTACTAGCAGAGCCAACACTGCTTCACTCACCCTGGTCTAGAATCACAGAATAGAACCATAGAATCCTTACAGTGCAACAAGAGGCCATTCGGCCCCTCAAACCTGCTCTGACACTCCGAAGTACCACCTATTGGTCTATCCAATAATACAGTACCGATGCTCAAATTTGCTCAGGAGCCACCACATTCATCACAAATGTGGTCAATAGCAATATCTGGAAGGGTGTAGGAGTTACTTTTGGAATGTTGAGACCAACACAACTCGAATGGCTCCCTAGGTTAGGATATATTGAACTTTTGGATGTTATGTTAAAATTTGAAATAACTCCTCATAAGCTGGTATCGCATCACTGAGTCACCCTTTATTTACACGTGGAAGGTCCTTGACTCTGATTCAGCTTTCTCAGAGCCAGCTCTCAGAATGAATAGAATGTCTGACACTCCTGCTTATATCTGTCAGCCAGGGCTCCCTGATTGGACCAGATTAACAGCTTCAATCAGGGAACTCATGTTCTATGCTTGTTACAATCACTACCAAATCATCATCCTCTAAGAACAGAGCCAACTGATAGCCAATGAAACACTCCTCCTGACATTAGACTTTTCCAATGCACATGTCTGCAGCCTCAGAACCTATAATGCAACGCATTCCATGCCCTGCTAACTGATGATGTCATGCAGATCCTGATGGTGCACCTAATGATTGACTGCAAAAATTACCAACAGCAATCTGGTAACTGAACCAAGTGCCATCTTTCAATCATCCTTGGAAAGGCTAGATAACCCTCAACTTCCTGGCAACAAACTAGGGAAGTGGTGCCCACATGGTACATGAGAAACAGCTCAATTCATGATCCAAGAGAGAACATCTCTCTGAGAGACCCATTCATGTTGGCATCTTAACCATTCACACTGAAGTCATTGAATGGATTGATAACCTTAACATCAAACTGTAACTGTTTCTCCAGCCATACAGGAAAACAATCTGGATTAAACTAATGATCATAGAACTGAAAAACTGCTAGTTCAATTCACATTGTGTAGATTGTACTTCAGGTCACACACCGGGCCTTGATATCACACAGTCTGCTATTACACATAACCCATTGTTAGCCACTAACAGCCTCCATTAACAGCTATTCACCCTCCTAGCCAGATCGTTATCTACTCCTTTGTTTGTTCAACTGTTCTTCTCTCTCTTTGGGCTCTATCCCCACACCTATTGTTTGATCCTTACCTCCTCCCCCCACCCTATCTTCTGCATATATACCAACATTTTCCTAGCTACCATCAGTTCTGAGGAAGGGTCACCAGACCTGAAATGTTAACTTTGATTTCTCTTCACAGGTGCTGCCAGATATGTTGAGCTTTTCCAGAAATTTATGTTTTTGTCCTCCTGGTAATCTGACTGGATATCACCTGTTCCTCAAGGAACACCACTAAAGCAGCTAACTTGGTTACTGATCTCATTATTGTTTGAGGGACCTTAAAGAATACAAATTTGCTGTTGCATCCTCTTAGTTTCCCACTTTAGAGACTTGAATACTAAATCCAGGCTAATATTTCAGCTCTGTAATATATTTGGATCAGATATGAAATTGAGACCGCCCTTTGCTTTCCAAGTTGATTTAAATCATCCTATGACATTATTTCAAAGAACAGCAAGCAATTTATTGCTAGTATTCTAATGAATATTTATCCCTGTACCAACATTGCGCAACTCAAGGTTATCGAGATATTACCACAGTTTAAGGTGCTGTGTACAGTTATCAGCCACATTGCTTACATTACAGCAGTGATTTTCCTTGAAAAGTGCTAATTTAGCTGCAAGGCAATTTGGGATGTCCTGGAGTTGTGAAAGGGGTTATATCAATTGATTTTTTTTTGTGTTAAAATTGTAGCTACAATTGAAAAACATCTAATGGATTGTCAAGTTGGAATAATGGAGGTTCTATAGTTTATGGTTTGATATTTAAATTGTTCAAAAAGAATATGTTAAAAAGAACATAACCAGTATTATACACATCTAAAATTGCTTCCTTAATCATTTGGGCAAGGCAAGTGGTCCTGTTGTAATTCAACTTTACTACGCATTTGGATAGGCCAAGAGAATTTGTGTTATAATTTATGATTTGTGTTATAATTTATAATTTACTCTGACGATTATTATGTTTCTGAATTGTATCTGAGATATCCATGTGGGTATTGCACATTTAATCACAGGGCTACATGAGCAAGTATGATCCTGAAGTCCATGCAACTAAAAGTTTGAACTTCTCCTCTGCCACAATGCCAAATATGTTCCAACGAAGCATCGAAAGTTATGTGGATAAACGAATGGGCACAACCTATGGTCCACCCAGTGGCAAAAAAATGACTGTGTTTATTGATGACATTAATATGCCAGTGATCAATGAATGGGGTGATCAGGTAAATCTGTTCTTTAGATAAGACCATGAATTAACTAATTTGTTTTGTGCACAGTCTGACATAATTTAAAAAAGAAAATTGGTGAATGAGACATACTGGTCTGCGTTGTCTTGTGCACTTTAAAATGAGTGACTAATACATTCATTTCCAAATATCATTGGATTATCACTGTTCTTTTTCTTTAAAGTTTAAGTTAGCAAGAAGTTTTGCAAAGAGATCCTACTCATCACATTGCACAAAACTTGCTTAAGGTAACTCTCTACTCATTAAACAGATAACCAATGAGATTGTCCGACAGCTAATGGAACAGAATGGTTTCTACAATCTTGAAAAACCTGGAGAGTTCACCAACATTGTTGATGTACAATTTGTTGCAGCTATGATTCATCCTGGTGGTGGCAGAAATGATATCCCTCAACGGCTCAAAAGACAATTCACAATTTATAACTGTGCGCTACCATCAAATGCATCCATTGATAAAATATTCAGAACTATTGCAAGTGGCTATTTTTGCGAGCAACGCGGCTTTCCTGCTGAGGTTTGCAAACTAGCCTCAGCTTTAGTATCAACCACACGCAAATTATGGCAGGCTGTCAAGCTGAAGGTATGTCAAATACTAATACCATGCACTACCACATAGGATAGTACACAAGCAGAGAAACTATTAGTTAAGGCTGACAATTAGGAGAACAAAAAAGGAACACAAAGAGAAGAGCAATAGAAATGAAATCACATAAGAGAGAACTTACGTTGTGTCTTTAACAGAAAAATGAATATTTTAAAGTGTTTTGTAAATGCAACATGTGCAAGGAAAATTGTGCCAACCAAGTTAGGGAGAGATTTGAAAAGGTGATGGTAAACTTGGTTAAGAGGTGGGTTATGAAGATTTATTTTTGAATGTGGAGAAAGGCAGTGAATTTTACCGAGAGAATCCAGAGCATAGGACCAATGTGGCTCAAAGTTCTGTCAACAAAGGTGATTTAAAAATGAGCAGAGGAATGGAGACAGGGGGAGTGCACAGCTTGGGCTGGGCTTTACATTTTTCAGTGGGGTGAAGGAGGCAGAATGGAAAGTAAGTGGTCCACTTACTCCCACCTCAGCTATGTCAGCCCTTCCACTTAAGTGCAGAGGGCCAATCAATGACAGCTCAGTGTAAGGGTGGCCAACTAATTGTTTGAAGGGAGGCTTGTAAACATCAGGAGGCTAGGCCGAGATGTCATGCTGCAGAGCGGGTTTATGTCAGGAATAGGAAGTCAGCTGCAGCTACAAATGTAAAGACCTCTTACCCTCTGAATCTCATTATTTTTCATTAAATGTTTCAGTTAAAAAAAACAGATGCTGCCACTCTCTCCAATAGAATCTGCTGTGACACTCAAGCACAATTCTGGTGGCTTCCACCTCCGTGCCCTCTGAGAATAACTGCACTAAAAATCTCCAAAACCTTTTAACATCTGACACCTGAAAAATGGAGCAAGCAATGAAAAATTGCAGGCGATTAGGTCATTAACAAGCTCAATACTTTAACTATTATTTATTTCACAATGGTTGGTAGGCTGTTGATATCCCTGCCCACTAACCTTCCATAATTTGGGAGACTGGTGTGACCCTGATGAAATCATGCCCTATTTTCAATAATCTGGGGGGTATATGCAATCAATTTGAGGACATGGGAACATGTTCTTGCAATGTTATAGGAAAGATTTTCTAAGTCTATGCTGGCAGCAGGGTACTTCACTAGCCTCTAGGCCATATTGTGGCTGTGATTTTCCAGTTTGGACTGTCAATGGGCTAGGTTTCTGCCATTCCTGGCACCAATACAAATACTGATCATTACACCGTGATAACTATCAGAGCTTCATTCATTCATTCATTCATTCTGCAAGTGGCATAAATAGAAGGGCAATATTTTAAAAGCTCGAGAGGAGGTATAGCTTATTGAAAATTCACCATGAGGAATAGATATTTAATGACCAGTTGAAAAGAACGCCAAGGGTGACTTGTGAAATAGTACCTCTTCAATGATGATTGAATGCAGATCTGAGGGTTCATTTTTTTTTTTCATTGTGCATTTATAGATTCCTGTCATCTTTTAAATTAATCTGTTTCAAATGTTGTTTTACAGATGCTGCCCACTCCAGCCAAATTCCATTATATTTTCAACCTCCGTGATCTTAGTCGTATTTGGCAGGGAATCCTAACTGTTACATCTGAAATTTGCCAGTCTCCTGATGTGTTGGTGTCACTCTTTCATCACGAATGCACTCGTGTTATTGCAGATAGATTTACCAACCAGCAGGACAAAGACTGGTTTGACAGTATAGTGAAAAAGGTACAGCAATACTTTCTCTTCTCATCTGTAGTAAAAGGGTCTTTGAATAGA